ATTATAATTTCTATTTTACAAATATTTAATATATATAATAATGTACATATTATAATAATAATTTAATAAATTTCTTTTTTTAAATAATAATATATAATAGTAATATTAATAATAATAATATTAATAGATAATATTTTTTCTATTTCCATTTGTAATTTTCATTATTCATAAATTATCGTTTATAATTTAATAGCATAATACGCTAAATCTATAAAAATAATTTATAAAAGTTTTAAATAATATATTTTAAACTTTAATTTTATGAACATTATTGAAAGATAATTTATACATAATTAAAACAAAATATAAAGTTTTTTTTATATTTGCTTTAATTATTAAAAATTTCAAAATAAATATATAATTTATCGATAATAATTATGAATTTGTATTTTTTATGAATTATGAATAATTATTAATATATATAATTATGAATCAATCAAATATTCGAAATTCATTATTAAATAAATTAAGAATCAAGAATTGCACATATGCACTGCAAGAAGTTATTGCTTAATACTCTCAAATATATTGATAAATGATTGCTGTGCCAAAAATTATTATTTACAATAGAAAACTGATTTAAGAAGACTGTATGTAACGATATCATCTACTATGTTTATTTATTAATAAATATTTTAATAATATAATTAAATATTATATAATATGATCGATGTAATGAACGCAATAACTTGAAAAATGAATTCAATATTATATAAATGCAAATGTATATCGATAATAAATTATCAAATTCCCTAGAGTTATAAATTTAAGAGTACATTTTTGGTTATATTATTTCTTTGAAACTATAAATTAACACAGAATTATTTATATTTTCTACTAAAGATATATAATTATGATAAAATGTAATAGAAAAAAATAGTACACATTTATTGATATAATTATACAAATGATAATTATATTGACAAATTAACAATTATTGTACATTACCTGTTGTACTAAAACTCAAAAAGATCATATAAAAAAATCTTGCATCAAAATTATTTGATTTTGCATACTGATAAAAATGTAAATTAATTGCAAACTAGTAATCAAAAAATTGTATCGATATAGAACGATATAGTTATTATAGATAATAAATATAAAATAAATATTAATATTATATATTATATGGCAATGTACCTATTTACAGAATATCTTTATGATGCAGTCCCAAGAGATTCTTTTCAAAACAGATTCAAATGGTTGACAAGATTCACCGCCTTCTTCGTTTTTGCTGTCAATCACTTTAAAATTGAAACAGTTCAAACGGCAACCGATTACAAAATCACTTTCGCAATGTAGTGATTGAACTTACTTGGCAACAGAGTCTTAAATCGCGTTTTCGAATGATGTCAGAGTAAACTCTTATAAATGTCACTTAACGCGTGCAGTGAGTCTTTACAATCGACACTCGCGAATTGTTTAAATAAAACAATAAATATTAAATCATGTCATAATTTGTAAAAATAATGGCAATATAGAATGTGAATTTTCAATCATAATCACTATTTATTCTATTTGATTCAGAAGAATGATCCAAATCTACCGGTGTCTGTACATCGACTAACGGCGATCGAGTACCGCCATGTTATCCCCCCTCGTGGTTGCGAGCAACACGGTCACGCGTGCGCAGATGCACGATCCTCATGCACGCGCCTAAAGCTTCGACATTACAACAATCTCGATAACAAAAGCCGCGGCACGTGCATCCCCACTTCGAATGGGATCTTCCAAAAGGTTCCGCGGGAAAGCAAAGCAGGACGCGCATGTTTCATAGAATTTCGTCGTTTCACGCGTCTTAAAGGTGTCAAAACACGAGTTTCAGCTTCAAAGTGGTTTTCGAATGCTTCCGAAAAAAGCTTGAAGTCCTAAGTAATCCTAAATAAAGAAAGTGTTTAGACATTCTTTTAATTAGACATTCCATATAAAATAAAAACTTATTTTAAAATAAATGTTTTATAAATTATTTGTAAGGTTAAAAATTATTTTCTAAAATGATATTATATTTAGACATAATGAAGATATTTTATTATATGATTAATATTTGATATGTCTTTTATATACTTATATATTTTTATATATTTTTTCATTAAAATAAATGTTTTGTTTTATTATAATTTCACATAACAAACGATGTCATATATTAATATTTAAATCATTTTATTGTATATTAATATGTTTTAATATATGTTATATGAAAATAAAACATATATATATGTACAAAATATTAATATTTTATAAAATTTTTGTAGAATATCTTTAAACAATCTAAATTTTCTCGATTCTAAAGGACAAAATAAACATAAAAATTGATACAGAAATATTGATTGAACCTTATTTATTAAATTATAATTGAATTTTGCGTTAAACGAAGTAAAATAATAATAGAATGAAATTGTCCATTGTTCCCGTCTTGCTTCATCATACAAACTTAGAACTTAATAAAAAATTTCAACTAACATTTTTATATACCAATTATTTGTTTTAGCTTTTATCTTATAAATCTACTCTTCAAAGCTATTCTATAAATATATTAACAAACAAAAATAAATAATTTTAATTTTAATATATTTTAATATTATTTTTATCGCAAAAGACATTATAATTAAATAATCAGTTGAAATTTCGATATTAAAAAATAAGTTTAATGTTAAAAACATTTTAAAAAAAGATATACCTTTATTACAAATTACAAATTTTGTTATCTCTTTTATACTTTAAAATTTATTATTAAAACAAAAAATGCTTCGAAATTCATAAACTCATTAACATCTCAGAATATAAGATTAATATTCTATTTTAATGTCGCATCAGTTTTATAAATGATCACATATTTCTTAAAAACTTTTTATAAATATTTTAATAATATTTCAAAATAGTTTTACATATATTAATTTTTAATATTAAAAAAAGTTCTTAATTCAGCAATAGATATTTTAATTTATTATCTCATAAAATAAAATTATCTCTGTTCACTGCATAAAAATTTTTACGATTAATGATTAACAATTAATATTTTAGTTAATCAATTAGTATGAAATGAATTTCCTATTGAAAGATATTTATATATTATATATATAATATATATATGCTTATATATTCTTTTTAGAAATTATATTATGCTTACAATTTAATAATGGATAAATACAATATTTCTATAGATAAGAATTATAGTATGTTGTAATTAAATGAATCATTCCTCTTGATCACATATCGTTATAAATCTTAGCAGAAGATTTCCAAATCGAATGCGAAATCTATGTCAAAGCAATCGAAGGATTAAAGTTTCTCTAACAACACGTGGTCTCGACTCGGTTACGCATCTCATATCGATCTCATCGAAAGGGTTTAGTAATTTCGATGACATATGAAAAGCATCCATTTGTGGTATTGTATATCACTAGCAAGACCCATATTGAGTAATCAGCTGTCGGCATGTTTTCCGGTTATTTCGAAGATGATGACTATTAATATTCAACTAACCATTTCAGGTAGACCAGCTGTCCGAAAAAAAAAAACAAACTATCTACTAAGAAAAAAATATACTTTCTTATGATGTATCTTAATTCTTTAGTTATAAATCCAAAATTAAAATCTTTTTTTTTCTTCATCACCATAAAATAAATTATTGAATATTCATTTTAAAAAAAATTATTATGTTTATAATGTTTATAATCATCAATTTTATCATAAGTAATTTGTTTTTTAAATCAAATAGATCTCGTATTTTGGATATTTTTAAAAATAGCATTATGACGCTCTATTATTCTTGCAATAGAATTTAAAACCACACGTGTTCATTCGAAATATTTGCGCGCGTCTAATATAGTCAAACGGCGTCACGGCATATTTTTCCGTGACTGATGCTGCCAATAGTTCATGAAAAAGATCTCATATGTGAAAAGAATGATAGAAATTAAAATAACAATTCTTTCACACTCTTCTCTATTTCTTTCTCTCTTTTATCTTTCTTTTTTTTCTTCCATTTTACAGATGATATTATAAAAACATCGATACATTACGCAATAAGAATTTCAACATGTTATTTAAACGGCCGAATGACATTGTCTGGCGAAAAAAAAGATACGGAAACCCTTCGTCGAGCCAATTTACTTTTGATTATAATATATCATTTACACTGTTTTTACTTGCTGCATTTAACTTGTTCAACCCTTTTTTCAATTTACACTCTGGCTTTATTTTTTATTATATTTATCTACTCATTCAAGGAAACAAATTTTTATACAATATATGTAATTTAAATGTGTATGTGTAATTACTTTTCATATTATTAAAAATGCAAATAATTAAACTTAAAAAATTATTGCTTTTAAAAAGGAAAAGAAATAATTAAATATAAACGTATGTTTATATTAACTCAATTATTTTTGTATCATAAACAGAAATTAATAATTAAATTTAATATTCACCATTGTTAGTATAAAAAGATTTAATAGATAATTAATAAAAAAAATGTTTTATTTTTTTTTTTTTTTTTCATTTGAAATTATACAATAATTTATTGTTAGTAAGGCAAATGAAATAAAAATATATGATTTCATTAAATAAATATTAACATTATATTTTCATAATAAGTTTTAAATTAAATATTATTTATAAATATTGTTTTCTTGAATAATCACAATTTTTATATTTTTAATATTAATGATAAATAATCATTTATTTATATACATATCATTTATTGATATATATATTTAACAATTTGTTAAGAATATTTTGAAAAAATTATTTTAAAATAGACAAATAGTTCCAGGTTATATGACGACTTCAAATTCCATATTAATTGCAAAACTGTTTAAACATTTCTCCGTGTCTTCCAGGAAGAGAAACAGGGGTCGCAATAATGATTTGGTAGTGCGTGCAGAGAACCATGGCTTGGAAGTAAGAAAGAGATAACTGTGTCGCAACTATAAGGAAAAAGACAAATAGATCAGGTCAGAGAAAGAAGGGGAAGGAAGTCGCACGTGTAGACAACTTCCCCACTCTCGTTCGGTTTCTCTGTTGAAAGGAGCGTCCTTCAGCAATCTTCCCATCCCTTCTGGTCTTTCGACCTTTTTCGACCATCACAATGTTTCCCCTCCACGTCAGATATCGCTGGGATCTGCAACCAATCAGGATCATTTGCGATGCTTCCACGTGGCTTGCACATTTAATCTCAGTGCATATTTGCATGTATGCGATTATCGACGCAATTATGTGTGCAATGACTATAATCGTTGTCTAACGATGAAACTAGAGTCAATATAAATAATTTATTAATAGATTTATTAATATGCAAATAATATAAAATATTTTAAATATACAAAGGAATTTTTAAAATTATTCTTAAAATTATATAGTGCGATGAATTCATGTTTCTTGTCTATTAAAACATTGAGTTTAATTATAAAAATAAAAAAAGATTAGAAATAAGGTGAAATTATTAAATATATGTATATATATGAAATATGTATATATTTATTGTTTTTTACTGTTACGATAAATTATTAGTGAAATTCATTTTTTTTTTATTTTCTACATCTTTTAATTATATTTCACAATAATAATAATTTTGAATTATTAAGATACTACTTAATATATCTTTATAAAATTTGTCACATGTTTAAATTAAAATTTAAAATAAAATTGATAATTATTTATAAAAAATATATTTAAAGCATATATTTCATATATTTTTACATTGTAAGATATTTAAATTATAGAAACATAAATAATAAAAATTTATTTTATGTAATAGATAAGATAATCGTCACTAAATAATATATTTAATAAATAAAAATATTTTTAATTAAAATATGTCTCATAAATATTATTAATACACTATTGGACAATTATTATCGATTACTGGATTTATTGGAATATAAAAACTCATATACACTTGTAAAAACTAATGAGTTACCGGCGATTGAAAACATGAGCGACATACGAACTAAATGAAATTTGTTCATATAACAAGTAACTTCTTTTGTAAATCATAGCAATATTCTTCAATATTCATTTGTATATGCAAAATAAATTTCAATACACTTAAAAGCTCGTCAAATAATTTAACTGACATTTTCACGAAATTGAACAATCTTATTATCTTCATATTTTCTAAAATATAAATATTTATCTTTAAAAATTTTATGAATTTTCTTTTCATATGACGCTTTTGTAATAACAAATACACTTAATATTTCCTTTTCTTTTTTTTTTAAATAAATTTTTTTTAAAGTTCGACTTCTACAATGCCGATATTTTCGATATTTCAAATCAAACTTATTTATTGAATTTAATTGAATTTAATTATGAATTTAAAAATCATAATTTTTGATCACATTGTCCGATTGATCGATAATATAATTTTTTTTTACGATTTTATCTTGTAACTATTAAATATAATTATTCAAATTATAAAATCTGAAATTATTACTCTAGATATATTTTTCTGTTGTCAATGATAACGTTTGTATTTATTTATTATAATTTTATTATTATATTTATTTATTATATTTTATATTCATTTCATAAGTTAATTCATATACATTTCTTATATTTATTATCTTTTTATTTTTATCATTTATCCGAATATTTATTATTTTTTTATAAATAAATATAAATTGTATTATGACATATTTTAATATTTTAAAAACAATTAAATACATATTAAATTTTAATATAATATTTCAAGCAAATTAATATAAACATCCTAATTGTTACAAATTTAAATTCAAAATAAGTATAATTATTAATAATATGTATAAAATGATTTTAAATTGTAGTTATTAAAATATATAGCTAGAACTGTAGATGGCAGTTATCTTCAATAAAGTTTAAAGATAAAGTAGTTTTCACTTTTTAAAAAGAAATTATGGATAAAAATCAATAATATTTATATAATTTAAATGAAAAAAATAATTTATTTGTTAAAAATTTATATTTAAATTTCTGTAGATATATTATAAACTAATATAAAGTTTTTTAATTTTTTTTTATATATTTAATGATACAATCAACTTTATTGACTATCGATAATTTATAGGATATACTTGTATAATCAATTCATAGATGTCACTATTGAATAATTATTATTGCAAATCAAATAAAGATTGGATATAAAAATTAAAAGTTTTTTTTAAAAAATCAATTTAAATCATTATTATTTAAATCATGATTTACATTATTTTAATGTAAATTATTAAGCTCTTGAAAAAGTCAAATAATAAATTTATTTTATAATTCCTTAAA